AGCTTCCTTTTTTTTTTTTTGAGTTAAAGACTCTTGTTATGTAGCCCAGGCTGTCCTTGAACTCACAAGCCTCTGACGTAGTTTCCCAAATGCTGGGATTAGAAGTGTACACCTCCATGCCCCACCTCAGAGTTCTTATTTAAACTCATGCCATTCATTGATGCCCAAGGAATTTTCTTATATTTTTAAGTTTTTTCCCTGGCCAATAGTTCTGTTCTAGTAAGAAACGTTGTATGACTAACCAAAGGAACATTTTAGAGGGAAGCATTCAGAGAGCAATTGCAAGACTATTCCAAAATCCCCCCAGTGACTAGGCCCAATTCCATGAAAGCACCTTGAGTTACAAACTGGATTGAAATATCTCTGGCCACAATTCCCAAACATCTTGTTTTCTTATACTTTTAGAAATCAAAATCTGCATATAATGATGCTTGCCTAAAATCCTAGTACTTGGGAGACAGGAGGATCAGGAGTTCAAGGTCATTCTCCACTACATAGAATATTCAATATTCATGTAACCTGGGTTACATGAGGCCTTGTCTCAAAAGCAAAAAAGTCTAAATGACAATTAGAAGGTTATAAGAGAATTCTAAGTGTCAACAACATGAGTCATTAGAAATGCAAATCAAAACCACCATGAAGCCAAGTATAATGACATGCATTTAATTCCAATGGTAGGGAAGCAGGGGGAGGGAGATTGGGAGTTCTAAGGCTAGTCTCAACTATATAGCAAGTTCAAGGCCAGCCTGGGTTACATGAGACCCTGCCTTCAAAAAAAGAAAAGCAAAGCACAATGAGATACCAGTTTGAAGTCATGAAAATGACTAAAACAAAAGAGATAATGCATCTTTTTTCTTTTCTGGTGCTGGGGACTGTGTTCTAACACTAAGCTCTATTTCCAGACCAGGGTAAAGAAACTGGAACCATCATACACTATTGGTGGGATTATAAAATGGTATCAACACTTCAGAAAACAGAGAGAAATCCTCAAAATGTTAAACATAGTTATTACATATCTTAGAAATTTCACTTCTTTTTAAGGGATGGGGTCCTGCTATGTTGCCCAGCCTTGTACCTACTTCCTGCCTTTGGCCTCTTGAACTGGGACTGCATATACACACCATTGCACCCAGCACAATCCCACTTCTGGGCAGAACCATATATATGTACAGTCAGGGGAACTGGAGACATAGCTGGGTATGGTGGTGGCACATGCCTATAATCCCAGCATGCAGGAAGCTAAAGTAGGAGGGTTATGAATTTGTGGCCAGTGTGGGCTGCAGAGTGAGTTCTAGGCCAGTCAGGGCTACAGGGTAAGAGAGAGATAAAAAGAGAAAGAGAAAGCAAGAGAGAGAACAGATATACAGTCCATATGAACCTGTATCTTAATATTATGAATGTACTAAATATCACTAAGTTGTAGATCCACTAATTGCCATGTTAACGTAGCTAATGTTTTTAAACAGATGGAAAAACTATTTGCTAATGTTCTAAGAAATACTATTCATAATATTTATTCATGTTCATTTCAAAAGTGGAAACAACCCAAACATTTAATTGAATAAACAAAATGTGGTGTATCCACAAAATGGAATATTATTTGGCAATAAAAATGAACAAAGTAGTGATCTATGCCACAGTATTAATGAACTGTGACATTATGTTAAGTGAAAGAAGCCAGGCACAAGCGACCATGGATTATATAATTCCATTTAAATGAAATGTTTTGAAAAGTCAAATCTATTAGATAGAAACCAGAATGAGAGATGACATAAACTGGGAATGAGATTTATGTTTTTTAAACACATTTTTAAAGTATACTATTTTATTAAATATATTTTATTTATTATTTTTATTTTATGTATATGCATGTATTGCCGACATGTAGGTAAGTGCACCCATGTCATGCAATGCCCGTGGAGGACAGAAGAGGCTGTTGGATCCCCTGGAAATGGAGTTAGGACAGTTGTTAGCTGGCATGTGGGTGCTGGGATACAAACCTAGGTCTTCTGCAAGAACAACCAGTGTTCTTAACTGCTGAGCCATCTCTCCAGCCCTAAACACATGTTTAAAAAAATTTTTCATTTATAGCCGGGTATGGTGGCACACGCCTTTAATCCCAGCACTCAGGAGGCAGAGGCAGGTGGATCTCTGTGAGTTCAAGTCCAGCCTGGTCTACATAATGAGTTCCAAGACAGCTGAGGCTACAGGGAGACCCTGTCTCAAAAAGACCCCCGCCCCCCAAATTTATTTATTTATTATTTTTATTTAATGTGTATGCGTGTATTGCCTGCATGTAGGTAAGTGCACCCGTGTTGTGTAATGCCTGTGGAGGTCAGAAGAGGCTGTCGGATCCCCTGGGACTGGAGTTATGGACAGTTGTTAGCTGCCATGTGGGCGCTGGGATTCAAATGTGGGTCTTCTGCAAGAACAACCAGTGCTCTTAACTGCTGAGACATCTCTCCAGCTCTGAGATTTATGTTTTAAAGGAAGAAATGTACTCAGTGATGATAATGGCACAACTCTAAATATACTAAAAACTCATTGACATATACACCTAAAATGTGTGAGATTTTTGTGGCATATAAAATTATACCTCAATAGTGTGTTAAAAATAAATAGAATTAAAAGGCTGTACAGCTATGTCAATATCCAGAATTACAGGCTCTTACTCTTTTCTTATTTTAAAGGTTATTAATAATGACAAATATGTATTTTTTTAAGATATGGGAACTTAAAAACCAGAAAGAAATATAAGTTGGACTGTATGTCCCTGCAGATTAGAAGTTCTGAGTGGAACTGGTTATGACCATATCTGTCTTTTCATGACCCTCAGCTGACAGTATTAAGGACACTAGTCCAGAAGAAGCTAAAGCTATCAACAGAGAGCATTGTGCAGTGAAACGATCCTGTCACCTCAGTCTGGGTGATCCTGTCAGCTGCAGCCTAGGCAACGATGAACTCACTATTCAGACCAGGCTGGCCTTGAACTCACAGAGATATGCCTGCCTGTGCCTCCCAAGTGCTGGGAGCACAGGCGTGCGCCACCACACCCGGCTGAATCACACATTCTTATCTCAGGCAACCACACTGTCTGCATCAACATAAGATAAAACTGCTAATGACAGGAGTATATGGCTCAAATGTGGGTTTCTATGTCTAAAGTCACACTTAGTCAAATGAAGCTTCATGTTCTTTCTCTGTTAATGTGGTGTTTATCTTATGGTTTACAAAGGCAAGCATCCACTTCATCTTTGCATCTGATCTTGGGCAGATAGTTACACTGAAAAACTGATAAACTGATACCTAGGTTACCTTCCTATCTAACTGAAGGACATTTTTATCTTAGAGCTTATGGACATAGTAGACACTTTCCTGCCAACTTGAAATGGGAACCTTGCCTGTTCTGCTAGTTGTATTCTGTTCCCATCAAGTAAGGTCATTTGTGGCACAATGATTTGTTAGAGAAGACAGTTATGATTCAAATAAAGGACTTATCAATTGGGTTTAACTTCTGTTCATATGATGAAAAAGCTTCTCTGGCTGTGTGGTAATATACTGGGAAGAAATTGTGAGACTCTTGGAGTTGCCACCTTTCTGAAGAGAACTGGTCAAGATACTCATGTATTAAAATTCTGAATCAGGGAAAAACTGAGGAGACTAGAGACAGAACTAACAGAATTTCTTCCTTAAAAAAATGTCCCTCCCTCCTTCCTTCCTTCCTTGGGATTACAGAAGTGTGCCACCATTTCTGGCTGAGACCTTTTACTTTTTCAGTGCTGGAGACTGAACTCAGGCCCTCCTGCATGCTAGGCCAGAACTCTATATTTGAGTTATACCCGAGCCCATAGGATTGGAACCATCAAACACAGTAATAGTAAACAGTAGGCTAGAAAATGCGGACAACAAATTTCTTCCTGTGATTTATGTTTGAACTCAAAAACTGTTATATGGACTATAAATTTCTTGACATTAGAGACTATATATTTTAAACTTTTGAATCCTTAGTCATGAGTACAATACCTCAGTAATTGTTGACTAAATGAATCAATGAACATAAGCAGTTATTATATGCCCTCTTTTGGGTGTTCCAGCCTTATGGATATTAAGAGGAGGCTAATGTCACAGAATTTTTGCATATTTTGAAATGTCTGAGAGAAAAACTGGGATTACAACTTGATAGAGATTGGACAAATAGGTCCAAGGAAGGTTAGTTTCAAGTAAACAGTTTAGAAATCATAGCACTAGAAGAGAGCTGAATGTAGTGATTCATGTCTGTAATCCCAGCACTTGGAAGGCTGAGTAGGAGGATCAGAAGTTCAGTGCCATCCCTGGCTACAGAATGAGACCATCTCTAATAATAATAATAATAATAATAATAATAAACAGTTACAAGAAAATTGAAAACTATCTTGATTTTTAGGTATCATGAAAACCTGAAACTGATTTTTACAATATTACTGTCCTCAGAAGAGGACAGGTTATATATGGAGCATACACATGCATGTATGCATATGTTCCTATGTCAATGATAATGTGCATACATTCCTTGGAAAGTTGAGGTATCACTAAATTTAGCTGATTAACATATTTAGCTTCTCTGTAGGGGAGGTGTTCTCTTTTTAAAGGCTGAGGAATAAGGGCTGGCGAGATGGCTCAGTGGGGGTAAAGGCACTTACTGTCAAGCCTAACCAACCTAAGTTTGATTACCAGGACCAAAAGGTAGAAGAAGAGAACCAAATGCTGCAAGTTGTCCTCTGACCACCATGCACACCTTCTCCCATAAATAAATAAATAAATAAATAAATAAATAAATAAATAAATAAATAAATGCAATAATAAAGGCTGAGGTATAAAGAGGACATATGATTTAGCAGATAGAGAAAGTAATTTTAGAAAGTAGGGACTACCCTGGAATAACAGTAGTTTCATTTCATACATGTAGTGTTGAGGAAGTCTGCTGAGATGGAAAGAAATCAGGCTTTCATGTCTCTAATTACCTTAAAGATGTGTGCTTTGAGGATGTGATGTCCCAGTTCAACAGTCTGCTGTCTGTTTAGTTTCCCCTCTTGGCGGGAAAACCAGAAGGCAAGTAATGTGTGACCACTCCTGCAAAGAAAGAGACTGATTTTAGAAATTTTAATGCCTCAATTTTGCTTTGACTCTTCAGGTCCAGCTGTATCTCCAACAAAACTATGTGCTACTCAATCAGAATCTTGGGGAAGGGTACTTATTATTAGGCACATAACATGTCTGAATATTACAAATGTCATTTTTACTTGGCTTATTCCCATCCCCCACACAGACGGCATTAAGACTTTCAGTTTTATTTTCTGCCTTTGTCAGCAACTCTTACTTTACAAGTGTAAAAAGGTCAGTGCTCCTCAGGATCTCTGTACTGTCTTTCTTGTTCTGTGTTTTCACTGGACTGGTAGTCTCTTTCTGGAGGTCTTTTCTGGTCAGCCTCTCCCAAGTCTTGACCTTTTCCCTCCAGCTGAGCACACTGGAGTGCTTGCTTTGTGGTACCACCAGCAAACACTGTACACACCTCTAGTGTAGTATTTACCACGGTTACATGGTCTTTCCTCACCAGACCACGTTTCCCAATGGCACCCATCCTCCATGTCTGTCAACAGATTCCCAATCTGTTCATGAAAGAGAAAGCTCTATCTTTTTCTACCTCTGTATCTGCTTATGATGGCCAGAACTGCTTGCCTTCCTAAATCATGTGATCAGCAGGTCTAAAGACAAAGCCAAAATGAGGGCCAGACTAAGAAAACTTTGGAAAAATAGAGCCTGAGCCCTGGTATCATCTAAACTGCTCTAATTTAGGGTTGTTCATTATAAGAAGCAAATCACTACTGCGTAATCCATTTGTTTTGGGATATTCTGTTTTTTTCTAGTTTTAAGTAGTCTAGTGATATTCATTAAGTGTTAACATACACACACTCTCAAATTAATTTTTAAAATTACATATATGTGTGTGTGTGTGTGTGTGTGTGTGTGTGTACGTGTGTACATACATGAAAAGACTAGAGGACAATTTTCAGAAGTTTTCATCATATGGGTCCTGGAAGTTGAACTCAGGTTGTTCATCAGGCTTGGCAGCAAGTGCCTTTACACTGTGAGCCATCTCACTGGTCCAGTTGTGAACTTCTGATCCTCCTGGTTCCACTCCAGAGTCCTGGGATCACAGCTATGTGCCACCATACTTGGTTTATGTTGTGTTGGAGATCAAACCCAGGGCTGCCTACAAATTTGGGCAAGTATTCTACCAAGTGAGCTATATCCCTAGGCAATTTATTCTTTATGTGCCAAAGTATGTTTGTGTGGAAATATGTGTGACATATGGGTGTACTTCTATTTATATTATTGAAAGAAAATCTATATTGCTTATATTCTCCACAATACTTAACACAACCTACTGCATATAAAAACACTCACTTCTGGCCAGGTATGGTGCATGCCTTTAGTCCCAGCACTTGGGAGGCAGAGGCAGGTGGATCTCTGTGAGATCCAGGCCAGCTGGGGCAACAGGGAGATCCTGTCTCAAAAAGACAAAAAAAAAGTGCTTACTTTTTTAGGATAAAAAAACTAGACATTAGGGGCCAGCAAGATGGCTCAGTGGTAAAGGAGCCTGCCACCAAGCTTCACAGCCTGAGTTCCCTGGAACCCACAAGGTAGAAGAGAGAACCAATTTCTGAAAGTTGTCTTCTTACCTCCTCATGCACTCTGGTATGTCTGTGCCCCCCAATAAAGGTAATAAAAACAAACAAAACACAAAAACCCTGGACTTTTTTTTTTTTTTTAAATTAAAGCCACTAGCTGGATATGGCAGCATATACCTGTAATCCCAGCATCTGAGTGGAAAAGGAGGATCACAGGTTGGGGGCCTGTGTCCTAGGATATATAGTGAGGCTTTGCATCAAACAAAACAAACAAAAAACCAAGGGAGAGAAAGGATACTAGAACATCTTCCTTCTTCCTCCCTCTTCCTATCTTCCTTTCCTTACTTCCTCCTCCCTTTCTCCTTCCCTTCTTTTCAACCTGGAGAATATGAGGTGGGACATCTTAGGGAAACTTTATTTCAGTAAGATTTTGAAAGGAAATTCAAAATTTTGGCATCACAGAATTTCTTAACTTCAGTCACCTTGTTAACTTGTTTAGTCAGGCAGTGTTAATCATATGGAAAGGAAATTATTTAGCTGGAAGCATGCCTGGAAAAGGGTCATCTTTGGTGGATTCATCACTATCATCAGGAGGCTTGACCCAGACTTGTTTCACACTTACCTCATCTAGGAATTGCCACTGAATTTTCACTGAACAAAATTTGAAAGCTCTATTTGGTAGGTGGTTTGTTGTAATGGAGCACTGGAAGGCAGGCAGTAATGGGAAGCATTTATATTATATTATGAAGTATGTTGTTCTCAAGACCTCAAAGCTCTACCCAGTTAGTAACAGTGAAATTATTGGAGTTTCCTGGTGTAAGAATTGTTCCTTTAAGTGACTCATGGCTGCATAGTTGTGAGGAAAACTCCTGAGTACAGGACTCTGATCTACTTACTATGTTTTAGGTCATGAGTGAGAATCCAGGTCTACCAGGATTATAAAGGTAACAAAAAAAGCTGTGTCTGACAATGAAATGGACTTTTAGTTTAAGACTTTGCCCTAGTGATTTTATTCATTTCTACCAAGATGCTTGCATTTCTCCAGTATGGATCTGTAGCTAGAGATGATAGTGTTGGTTACTGCTGCCATTCGTTAGGCACTAAAGATAAATAGCAAGTGATGTAGGTAAGATGAGGGCAGCAACTGCCATTCATTTCTTTTTGAATAGAAGCATGGTACGTTTTAATAAAAGAATGAGTCTTCTGGGCCTTTACCTGCCAACCTAATGAGCATTCCAGAGGCTGAGGCAGGAGGACTACAAGTTTGAGGCTAGCCGGTGCTATGTAGTGAGGAAAAAAAAAACAACCTAAGCACTAAAGACCCCCAAACCAGTTCTGATAATCTGGATCTCACTGAACTTAAAGCTTATGTTCTGTAGGTTATAGTGACAGTAATTTACACGACATGGTGGCCTTTCCAGTGTACCTCCTGTAAAGTGTTGTACCTCCAGCTAACCTCCAGTCTGAAGCTGCTCTACTTCACTTGCATTACTTTGTTTCCACTTCTCTTGCCATTTGCTCATTCCTAAATGATATTCTTTAGGCTGCTCACTTCACTGTTTGCTATCATCACTGGTAACCTCTACACTGTTAAGTAATGTGGTTTTCTCTTAACTTTTGGTATTTTTCTTTCTCTATTTTCTCTCAGCATTTGTGGGGACCTAAAAGCCCCACCTTGCATAGGTCTGAAAGGAAGTTACTGGGGGTGTGGCCTAGCTTGCTTTGAAAGTCTGAAGAATACTTCCGCACTGCTGAGGAGTGCCTGATCAGCGCGTGCCCATCCTTAAGATACACCCTCAGGGGGGAGGGGGGAGTTCCAGGTGCCTTTATAAGCTTTGTGACACTTGCAATAAATGAGTCTCTGCCTGACTAAGACTCCCTGTTGCATCTGAGTGTTCCCAAGTAATGGGGGTGGCGTGGGCTGGCGAACGGTGTGCTTACTCATCCCCAATCCTCACCTCGCCGGGAGTCACTGGTTCGAACCCCCGGCATCTGGCGCTCAACGCGGTGCTCGAAGGAAGGTGAAAAGAAGAAAAGAAGTAAGAAAGAAGCAAAAAGGATTGGTGCCAATCGAGTTCGGGGTAAGCAAGACCCTAAAAATGGGTAACACAATTTTTAAGTTTGAAGACCCAGCGCTTAAAGCGCTGAGAGATATGCTTAAAAGCAGGGGATTGGATTTGTCAGATCCTGTAGCTCAAAAGGTTTGGGCAGAGGCGATTCATTTGGCTCCCTGGCTACTTGGGGCTAATATTTTTACTGGGGATACATGGGAACATGTGGAATGTCTAGCTTGACAAAGGGAGGTTCAATTGGGGGCTGATCTGCCACTGGAGTTCTACCCTATTTCGGCCTTAAAGGCATGCTTTCGGCCTGAGAGCCCTAAGCCCTCGGTGCCACCTCCTGACGAGCCTTCAGAAACCCCGGCATGGGGATCATGGGAAGGGTTTGAGGAAGAAGGCAGAAATGCAACAGAAGTGAATCCAAAAGCAGCCAAAGTAACAAGCAGCACCTTGGGTGTGCCCTGGCCAGCTTCAGAGCTTCCTGAAACCCATGAAAATTGACCCATTTCCAGGATTCTGGCCCCGCTCAGGAGACTCCTGTGAGGCCACGGGTAGAAGCATATCCTATTAATGTAAACCCAGGAGGCACATGCCCTGACCCCTGGTATCCCTGGGAGGTGAAGGATTTAAAGGAATTAAAAAAGGCGGTGGCTGAGGATGGCCGGGGATCACCCTGAGTAGATACTCTCCTCCAAGGCTTGGCTCATCAGCAGTGTACTACAAAGGATTGGTTGGAACTCACCAAAGCAGTCCTTCCTAGCCCTATATATATTACATGGTGTGCCCTCTTTAAGGAGGAATGCAGGATACAGGCTGAGAGGAATGCAAGTGCCAATCCACCGGTCCCCACTACTTTTGGGATGTTGACTGGTTCAAGTGACTGTTATGCCACAGGGGAGTAACAGTCGGGCATTCCAGCCCCATATACAGAACAGGTCAGGGTCATAGGATTAAATGCTTGGAGAAAATTGGACGAGGGGCCTACCGAATCCCCCCTTGCAGGAATTAATCAAAAGCCTGGCAAACCCCTCTATGAGTTTATAGACAGAGTGGAGAAGAGCTTAAAGTGAAAATTACCTCCAGGCCTATTGAGGGAGCAATTCACTAAACTCCTGGTATAGGATAAAATGGATGCTGATCACAAGATAGCCTGTGCTGGCCTTAAGGACAGGTCCATGGAACAATGGATAATTGCCTCCAAGGAGGTGGGAACCCAGAGGGGGAAAACCAAAGCTGTGGCTGCTGGCTTACAGATGGAAACAGAGGCTCTGACCCATGCCTTAACCCAGGCATTTAATTCACTTAATCTGGGTCAGCAGGTAACAATGGGGCCTAGAGGAATAGAAGGCCCATGTTTTGGCTGTGGCCAGACTGGCCATAT